CACCGCCACTCTTCTACAACCGCGTATAAAATGTACACTGGTAAAATCTTGGATTTCACGAGTGGACTTTCTTCTGATAATGGATACAGGGGCAAACGCATCTTTGCGTAAGTTACACGCAATTGTACGGCACTCGGAAAAATTTCGATTGATAATAAATAGCTGAAAAATACGCTCTAACGCAGTTATACACGTGGCATTGCATGGGTGCATGTATGTGTTACACGAATGATTTGCGCCTTCGCGAGGCATGAGCGCGCAATCGCGTATCCTTAATTAAGAGCAGATATTTCTCGGCTCCGTGTAACGGTATCCAACGAAATTTATTGACCGTGACGTGTATAGGGTCGATATACTCTTTTTTTCTTGTTTTTGTTTTGTTTTTTTTTTTTTTTTTTTCGACCTAAAAGCTTATATAACGTTCTCATCGCGTAAACACAATATTAAAAGCTAGATTCGTTTTAGCCACAGAAAATATTAATATTCGTTTTTCAAAATAATTATGGTAATTTTTAATGAAAATTTTTCCAAAGTTATATGTTATGTACGTAAATATAATCTTCTTAATTTAATTTTAGAAGCAATTAAGGCATGATGAGAAAAAGGAACATTAAGATGGATTTTATCGATTTCTAAAAAATGTATCAACAAACGTAATTTAAAAATATAATGAAAAAAAAAGTTACGTGAAGACTAAAATTATGTCCGTGTCAACTGCCACAGACCTGCAGTAATCCTGACTAGGGAGGAATATTTAAAAAAATAATTGTAATCAAGTAAAGTGTCCTTTTGATTTATGAGTCGCGTATGTAAAATCTTTAGATTTCAAAAGGTCTAAATTCTCCCACCAACACCAAGTCTAATTCTTCTTTATTAGAACTCTCGCACAGCCTCATTTTCTTTGAGGCGTCCCTCGCGCTCTCGTCTTAATTCTCATTTAATTTTTCTCATGCCCGCCTCTACGAAATGCATATGCATGCTTTCTTGAGAGACAAATATATGAGCAAGATTTCTGTAGAAGCCAGAGGCTCATGGAGTTATTATTATTGCAAGGTAAAACAACTTTCGATGAATCAGTGCTTTTGTCAGTCTCGTTATATCTAAATTATAATTTTATTATTAAGTAGAAAATTAATAATAATTAGTACCTTTTATCTCAATTACTTGGCATCCATGAAGTGGAACCTATTGAGTTTAAATATTTAAAAATTTTGATAAACTGAGAAGTCTGTTTAATTTGCAGTTATTTCATTTAATTATAAATTTTTTCTTTAACTTTTGTGCAACAAGTGTTTCATATAAAACCACTGAATTAAAATTAACGAATTTCTACTCACTCAAAATCCTCAAAATTCAATACAGTTGGTGTACGTGAATAAACAAATCATATTATACGTACAATCTTAATATTGTATCTTTAAAGTAGATTGTATGAAATGCTAGAATTGTATTTTTTACCACGCTTGAACTGGTAGAGGATTAATTCTAAGATCTGATAAAATTTTAATAATTATGAGTCCTAAATTACTAACAAAAAAAATTTACAAAGAAATTATGAATATTTTCACATAAAAGAGTTTTATTGTTTGTTCCAAATAAAATAAATAAAATAATCTATTATCTTAATCAGAAAAAGCTTGTATATTTTCTAATGGCTATAGCTCGTACACTTTATTTAGCTAAATGGTTTTGGGTAATAATTTCGCCAACACGGCGTATCAATTTACGAGTTAGCTGCTGCGCGTGGATTAGGACTACTTAATCCTAATGTAGACTCTTTCTCTAAAACCTGTTTTTGTATAAGCCCCACGCCATCGACTTTGAATATAATTACATGCACCTCGTGTATTTCGAGAAAATTTCGTGAATTTCAGAAAAAGAATTTCGAGATTGACGAGATTTTTTTAGATTCGTGAAGCTCTCAATTTAATGCAAATAACGATGTACTATTAAAATTTAGTTCATTTAAAATTTTAAAAATAATTTTAATAATGAAAAAAAAAAATTTCTTTTCTCATTATATTGGGTAATACCTTGACTTACTCTAATTTTAGTTGATTGGTTGCGCAAGAATAAATTTTATTATATAGATCAATATGCATTATTTAATTTTCTATTTCGTATACACAATACATTTACCATAGTCATGCACTATTTTTTTCACGTTAACCAAAGTTTTGTCCTGTTTTTACTACAAGCCAAGAAATGTAAAGGAAACTTGATACCGCACAGATAGGCGTGTTTATATACCTTTATCTTTCAATTTTATTATTGTCACATTAGCAACAATCAATGCACAGTTAGAAAAATAAAAATACACCTATAGTTGAATAAAAGATCATGATGTCGTAAATAACGTGTCAGGTAAAAGCTGACTTTCTTATAACCTACTCGACTATTAAATCTGCATTTCTGAACTTGAAAAAAAAGGAAAAAAAAACCAAAGCCACCCAAGTGAAATGTCTTTTTGATTTACGAGTGACTTATGCTTACTAGCCTAATTATAACTCAAAAAGCTCCCTCTTTTCTCCTCCAACCTCCACACTTTTTTTATCTCATTCTTTGCATCTTTATCGTGTCCTTGTCTTGATTCTTTCTTAATTTGCCTCGTCCTCTTCTTCTTTTCCACAAAATGTCGGCGTATACATCAAAAAGAGCAGGAGATAAATGCAATGGTAAAACTTCAATCAGGAGTTAAACGCTGGTGAGGTCAAACAAATACGCGAGATTGAAGAAATTTTCATCCGACGCAAGGTCTTTTTCGCGTTGCGTTATTTTTGGTCTTGTCCCTTTGAGGAAGCACAATTATCGTGATGCAGTTAATTAACGTCTTGCAAGATAAATCAAATCGAGGATTATGCTTTTTTTTGTTCTCTCAGATCCTTAAATTATTCTGTTTGCTGTGAGGAAAAAGGGGTGACAAGAATAATTTGGTCCACGTGGATAATATGTGTGGAAAAACTTTTCTATAAATAACATCAAAACAGTAGTTGATGTAAATCATTAGTTATTAGATTTCTGGTATCGTCTGTATAACTAAGTTCAATGATTTTTTTTTTTTTGTTAATTTTATGTATTTATAAAAAATATTGAAAGTCAGTAATTTAAAATAGACTGAACATTTCTACGAGAATTTCCACTAGTTTATCCAGTGATTGCACGCCAATTTAAGGGATAATTGTTACTATAAATATAAATAAAAAAGTTTTCTAGGAAAAACCAAAATATCACGAATAAGGTAAGAATCAACACAAGATAAAATAAAAATTAAAGAACCTATGTATGTAAAAAGTGGAAATGTTGATTTAATTTACGAGTAACTTCTTTGCACCTAATGGGAGTTAAAAAGGTCCCTACTCTTTGACCAACGTATTACAGTGCCATTCTTCTCTCCTCTGATGACTCCCTACACTGCATTATCTCCTTTTGTTACACCTCCCAGAGTCCTCGTCTCAATTCTCTTTTGATTTGTCTCACTCCTTCCTTCGTTCCAACATAGTGCCTTTCACACGAATCGTAACACATAGTTGGATAATGTATCCATACTAATTGTGTAAAATGGTCCAAAAAAATAAACCTCTCAACCGAATATTATTTGGGACTATCGGGAGTCGAACTCTCACGGGCTCATAAAAATAAAAATAAAAAGTAGGAAAATTTTGGCTCCCCTTTCATCAACTCTTAAAATTATTCATCCTGGAGTCATTCTCTCGTTGGATTTTTTTTAACTCTCGTCTCTTTGAGGGAGGACAATTATGGTGATGTCGTTAATTAGTGTCTCGCAAGAGAAATAAAATCAAGTACGTCGCTTTTTTGTACTCTGGGTTCGATCAATTATTCCGTCTGCCGTGAGGAAAAAGGGTTATCAAGAAGAACTTGGTATGCGTGTGACGGGGCAGTACAGCAGAGACTGATTTGAATATTTTATTATTCATCCATATGAAAATAAACTTTGTGCTTTTCATCCATTTCGATTTTTTTATTGCCCATCTTGTTCGGAGCATGTGCACAAAATACGATTAATTAAAAATCTTTTAAAAAACCGAAACAGACATTTTGATAAACTCATGAAGTACAAACAAGCCAGAATTTTTTTTTTCGCACATAATGAAACTTGTTATATTGAAATAAAAGAGTATTTTTTTCAGGGCTTTTGAACGTTGTGCCCACTTTTCTGTATTTTTTTCTTATTGTCAAGCGTAATGGCATCATTTTTCTCTAAACTTTCAGACGTAATATTATACGTACACATGACCTGATTACTTATTACTAGGAGTTCCCTTTCTATGTTCTAGGTATTGCTGCCTAATTTCGTATGACCAATGAAACTGTACAGGAAAATTGGCTTACAATTAGGTATTATAAAAAAAATAAAAAAAATCACATCGTACAAAAACAAAGAAACTTACTCCCACACGTCTTATACTAGGATTTTTTTTTTTTTCAAAAATAACTTGTGTTTGAAGGTGGAAGTAATTGTATCGTTATTATTAATTTAGTTTTTAAGTAGTGATGAGGTCACCCAAGTGACGACGAAATATAGAAAATAGAAAAAATATCCAAGTTGCTTTTATTATACTTTAAAGTTCTATCCGATGTATTTTGATCGTGTTTTTTTTCAATTTTGTTCACCTGAATTTTTTAAATTCCTTCAAAGAGTAGCACAAAGAAATGCTCCAAATTTTTGATTCGAACATGCACCATTACATAGGGTGCGAATCAACTGTACGCTTTGAGCAATTCAAAGTGATTGTCTCAGCTGTTACATTCATCTCTTCTGAAGAAAATATTTTGAAAATAACTATTAAAAATAAAAATTATTCATTTATTCACCATTCACATACTATATATCAATGAAACCTTTGTAAGAATCGTACTTCCCTTCAACATTTAAAGTCATTGTATACAATCATTGCGTTTTTTAACACCAATACGATGTATTGTGTTCCGTGAGGAAAAAAAAATGAATAAAAAAACCCAACTTTGTGCTCGATTTCCAGAAAAGTATGCAAGAGCTGTCGCTGCCCAAGAGAGGAGCACCAGCGCAGTCCATCCGAGCCAGGCGTCGGGGTGAGCAGCCCGAGCCTGGTCTCCGGCACCCGCATGTCCATGGCGATGGGCTTCCAGAGCAGTCCAGCCTCGACGACGCCGGGCTCGCCGGCTCCCAGCACGCCCAACTCCACGATCCAGAACCACCACCAGCAACAACCGCCGCACCAGCCTCAGTCGCAACTGCTAAGGCCTGACAGCTTCGAAAGTCCGCTCCACCAGTTGGGCAGTGTGGGTGTCGGTGGGTTACCGCCCGTGGTCCAGGACGCGCTGGTTCAGCAGCAGCACCACCACCACCAGCGCCACTCGCAAAGCGACGACGACAGTGGCTGCGCCCTCGAGGAGTACACGTGGGTCCCGCCCGGCCTCAGGCCTGATCAGGTACACACGCATATTTATGGCTTTTGAAATGTATGCGAGCTAGTTTTCATAAAAGAGCCGCTGCAAGCTTATACCGTGGGTTTTTTTTTTTTNTTGTTTAATTCAGATAAATCTTTTTGTTTGTATTCAAATAAACGTTCGTTTGAATTGACGAAATTTTTTTTTTCAGGGTACAAGTAACGATATTATACCTATTACGATAACCATGTACTAGACAGTTTGAAAATTTCCATCATAAATTCTTATTGTATATACGTATACGTATAGGTGGTAGCTACTAATCTCATAAAACTTTTGCTCGATAGTTTCACGCTCGGCTGATCTCAGCGAGTAATAGTGGTGGAGAGGGTTTTTTTTTTTTTTATATACACGTATATACACCTACATGCTGTAGGGTCTTGGGTGCTCGCGAGATCAAGAGTAAAGGATAACACGAAACTCGATGGGAGAGGGTGTATATAGGTATCCGAGCTATTGATGCTCCTTTGTACTACAACTGGTTTGCTTTTCGTACGGTCTTCCGTAACGGCTGATGAGGAAGTGCATGATCCTTTTATCCGGAGCTCAGATTTTTCGTTCAATTACACTGTAAACTCTATGCTCGCAAGAGAGATAATTTGAATGGTTTCGACCATGACTGTAATGTTAATGATGTTTTATTTTTTGCGGTGCAGATTCTGTTATGGATTAGATTTCGTTTAAAGTAAGATCATATATTTTTTATCTAAACATGTGGATGATACGTATATATTTTTTATTTGAAAATATTAAAATTTAAAACTTGCTATGGGTATGTATTTTTTTTTTAATAACGTACAATGTAAACGTTTTTTTTAAGTACCAGTTGTGCGTTTTTACCTCGTTACGCGTATAGAGTAGGAAACGATTACTATGACAAACATTTTTTTAGGGGGATTTTATACAAAAGTAAGGAAAATCTATAAAAGAAGCCATATGGTAATGGTACACATCTAGCTATATGTTACGTTATTGCAACAACAAAATTTAGTTGGCAACATTACGTGGCTCGTAATCGAATGATTACGTCGTTATAAAAGTTGATGTAAATTTTCGCACTTTGATATTTCGATAATGTCTCATGAGGGATGGGCTTCCTAACTGCTGATGGACACGAATGACCGCAGGAAAGTAATTAAACTAATTCAGCAACATCTGATGCTACGGACTATAGAAATTCCGAAATTTCACATAAAGTTACAGAAGGTTGCGATGGTAGAATATTATTGGTACCACTAAGTAGTTTAATTAGTTCCCCTGGGCCATGAAACATCACCCGTTTGCATTCATTTGCAGTTAAAATAACAATTCTCAATAGAAATAATTTATTCTCAATTTAGCACTAACACCAACAAATGCAAGTAATGCGCCAACACAACTGATTGCTCAATTGCTTTGAGTTGAAGAAAAAAATTATTACAATGGATACAACAAGCAGCATAAATCTATTACGATCGTTGACGTATGCTACATCTAACTCAGGTCACATTATTCTAAATCGATGCAAGGATTCTTTTTTTTCTTTTTTTTTAACGTACTTAGAAAATATCTTTGATACGTGTCTAAAAAAGTCTCAGTTGTTTGTCCACGAAACAACTAACCATTATAATCTGAAAATTTGCAAGCCTCATGCACACCCAAGCTTTGCAAGAACCCTCGAACGTATAGTCGCACGGCGAAATTTATGTGTACATCGTGAGCGTTTTTATCAAAACTGGTATTTTCCCCGCGAACGAGTGAGCAGTTGCAGTTGCGCTTATAAAGTAATGACGATTACCGCGCATTGGAATGCGATACAAGTTCTCTCTCTCTCTCTCTCTTCCCATCTCAAGTCGATGACAAGAGCGCACAGCCGTGAATTTTAATGCTACGTCGTGAGAAAATCCACGTTCGTATTTTATTAAAATTTTTATCCACGAAAAACACACGAACGCATAAAATGTGAATTAATTATGTTGAATCTCACAAATTATACCAGCGTATGCACTCGCTGCTCGTGACAGCACACTGTGTTAACAATATAATATATTAATCCTTGATGGAAGAAAGATGACACAACGTGTGATACACTATTATGGCATAAGGCTTAATATAAACACACGCGTTGAAAAATTTATTTTTTCCCTCACGAATTCGTGCGTACTTACAACGCGTTAAGAAGAAAATTTTGTGTACAGGTAAAAAAACACCTGCCAAGCTCGTACAGAGGTATAAACACGTGGAAGCATACTTACACGTGTAAAGAGACGCAACATCCTTACTATTGTACTTTGACGGACATATTAGTAGTGGTTTGCATAAGGAAAGAGAGTACGGTCTGTCAGAGCAGTGGTTATACACTCGAGGGTCTCGAGACACGCGCTGGAATGACAAAAAGTTGCGGGGACAAGACTGTACGACCGCAAAGTTTATGCTCAAGGGAATGAAGGGTCTGACGTGCGCTTTTTCATTTGTTTTCACATCGTGTCCTTATTGCTCGTTTCTTTGTTTTGATATCATTTTGATTTTGGTTATTACTTTTTTTTTTAAATCAGTTGTACACCGCGGTTTTGCGGGCTCGGAAATTTATGATGATTGAAAGAGCGGGTTCACAATACAAATGTAAGTTATCATCAGGTTGCTCGTGGGGAGTACTGGATGGGATATTATGGGGTTCTCCGGTTGTAAAAAAAAAAAAAAAAAAAAAAAAAGACAAATTTTTTCATTTGGAATTGATGACGGGGCGGCCACAATGAACAATTATAGTTGTAAAAATAGATGAACCACTTGACTTACACATAATATATCCTCGTATTTGCTCGTGCTTCAGGTCCACCTGTACTTCAGCGGCCTGCCAGAGGATAAAATCCCGTACGTGGGCAGCGTTGGTGAGCGAGAACGGGTGCGTCAGTTGTTGCAGCAACTACCGCCCCACGACAACGAGGCTCGCTACTGCAGCGGCTTATCCGAGGAGGAGAAGCGCGAGCTCCGCGTCTTTGCTTGTCAGCGAAAGCGCGAGGCCCTCGGCCGGGGTCAGGCTAGTCAGGTGTGTATCCTTCAATATACAACTTTTTATGTTTTATAAGTTATTTTAGTGGGGGGGCGGACAACGAGCCCCCCATAACCCCTCTAGTACTCCCCGTAGCCCCCCACGAAATAAATCAAGTTTTTTTTTTATTTCTCCATTATTTTAAAAGCTTATAAGATTTTGATTGAAACTCCATGGCCCCCCAACCACCTTTGTTTTCGTTCTAAAATTTCGGAGCATAAAGTTTTGTGACTCTTATTACTTGAACACAATTTTTTTGCCTCAATACGGTTATTAGCGTGTAATATATTTCCCGTCTACAGCATCGACATATTATTCTGTACAACGCATTATACTCGCTCAGTGATTTTCATGTCCTCCTATATCCTCCAACTTGTACTTGCAGTTGTTTGTTGCTGCATGTTACAGGTATATATGTATATATATATATATATATATATATATATATATATATACGTATACGTATAGGTGGTAGCTACTAATCTCATAAAACTTTTGCTCGATAGTTTCACGCTCGGCTGATCTCAGCGAGTAATAGTGGTGGAGAGGGTTTTTTTTTTTTTTATATACACGTATATACACCTACATGCTGTAGGGTCTTGGGTGCTCGCGAGATCAAGAGTAAAGGATAACACGAAACTCGATGGGAGAGGGTGTATATAGGTATCCGAGCTATTGATGCTCCTTTGTACTACAACTGGTTTGCTTTTCGTACGGTCTTCCGTAACGGCTGATGAGGAAGTGCATGATCCTTTTATCCGGAGCTCAGATTTTTCGTTCAATTACACTGTAAACTCTATGCTCGCAAGAGAGATAATTTGAATGGTTTCGACCATGACTGTAATGTTAATGATGTTTTATTTTTTGCGGTGCAGATTCTGTTATGGATTAGATTTCGTTTAAAGTAAGATCATATATTTTTTATCTAAACATGTGGATGATACGTATATATTTTTTATTTGAAAATATTAAAATTTAAAACTTGCTATGGGTATGTATTTTTTTTTTAATAACGTACAATGTAAACGATACCAGATTAATCATTTGAGCCAGAATTAGTAAAAACCTCAGAGCTATGTACTAGCACTTTAACAAAAAACATTGACTCATTAATATTGTCAAGCCTTACATGCATATAATCAATTCCAGAAAATATGATTCCTTATACAGTTATGGAAGTTTTGGAATGAAGTCATTAATTCTATTTAATTGACATCATTTACATGAAACCGATTTGGGGATTGTCAAAGAAAAGCAAACCAACTATGACTCTCAAGCCATTTGATCGAAGAAAAAATTATAGCTTTGATTAACAAAGAGAGTATTATTTATGTTCATGATGTATATGAGCTGGTAAAAACATTTTTTTATATATATATATATATATTATCCTCCACCTTGTAAGTATATACCCATGATATTCAAGTAATTCGATAAAAGCCTTGAGTCCCGGGATACAGCAATCATAACCCAAACGGCAACACCCGCCTGCATCTTCCAGGTCGACCGAGCCCACGGCAGCGGCTGCCGCGAATGCGGTCGCGCGATCGGCCCGAACGAGATCGCGGTGAACGCCAACCGAGCCGGTCCCGCGGCCCTGTGGCACCCGGCGTGCTTCGTCTGCTGCGTGTGCCGGCAATTGCTCGTCGATCTGATTTATTTCTGGCGGGACGGCAGGCTCTACTGCGGTCGGCACCACGCCGAGACCCTCAAGCCGCGATGCTGCGCCTGTGACGAGATCATACTCGCCGACGAGTGCACCGAGGCTGAGGGCCGCGCCTGGCACATGAGGCACTTTGCCTGCCTCGAGTGCGACAGACAGGTGGGTTGACCCCCTTTTTTTTAGTGTACCTACACAAATGTAATGAAATTACAAATGATGGCACATCTTGTACCCGAAAATGCGGTCGGTCGTTTTCAAACGATTTGGTAAAAAAAAACTACCACCAGAAAGTGTGACGATCTCAACGCCAACCCAAAAAGGCTTTGGAATCTCAATAAAAAGTCCGTTGTCTTTTTAACGCTAAAGTCCTTGAGTGTAATCAATATTTTTATATGAACGTTAGGCCTCAAAAGGTCTTTCAAAAACTTTAAAGAATTTCAAAATTGTTTTAGAAACTTTTGGTGCAGTAAAGATTCCTATGGTTAAACTTTAAAATTATTTTAAACGGCTCTCTCATTTGAAAACTTGAGGAGTTTTTCAAAAACTTTCAAAATGTTTTTGACTTTTGTAGGCGTTTTCATAGAAGTTCCGGTCTTTTAAAACCTCTCAAAGTCTCCAAGTACCTTCGAAAAACATGATGGTGCTCGGGTGACTATGAACGGCTCCAAAGTCTTTGGAAAATTGTACAAGCCAATTCAAAGTCTTTGCGTGACTTTAAATGGCTTTTGGTGGCGCTTTAGAACCCTTTGAGTCTTTTCCCACATTGGACCGTCTGAAACGTGAAATTTCGTTAAAAACAGCTGGGCGGCCAGAGGTACGTGATGCGAGAGGGCAGGCCCTACTGCCTGCACTGCTTCGACGCGTCCTTCGCCGAGTATTGCGACAGCTGCAGCGAGCCAATTGGCGTGGACCAAGGCCAAATGTCCCACGAGGGCCAGCACTGGCACGCGACCGAGTGTTGCTTCTGTTGCGTGAATTGTCGGACGTCGCTCCTGGGACGGCCATTTCTGCCCCGGCGCGGGGCCATTTATTGCAGCATCGCCTGCAGCAAAGGCGAACCGCCCACGACGCCCAGTGACTCGTCAACCAGCGCTGCCCCGTCGGCACCCTCGTTTCACAGGTATAAGGATATTTTTTTTTTATTTTTTCTTTCCAATCGTCATTACAGGGGCTACATCACACGGAACGATGCTTTCACAGAAATTTTCCCAGTTGGTGTCATAAGTGCCAACATTTTCCTCTCGAAAATTCGATGGTTTTACGAAATAAACTACAATCTCTCTTTTGTTTAAACTTACACCCAACATGCGCTAATTGTCACCGAAACATAGAGTACTTTGGAAAACACAATTTCTATGTAATACTAATGTAAATCAAACAATTTCTTTACAATATTTAACAGATTTAACCAAATACTTGTTTAATTCAGATAAATCTTTTTGTTTGTATTCAAATAAACGTTCGTTTGAATTGACGAAATTTTTTTTTTCAGGGTACAAGTAACGATATTATACCTATTACGATAACCATGTACTAGACAGTTTGAAAATTTCCATCATAAATTCTTATCGTAGCCAAGTCATTAGAGTATAAAAAAAAAGTCACCAAGTACTACACGTATATTATTGTTATCACTGTTTAAAATGAAAATGAAGAAAGAAAAAAATCTTAAGCCTTTGGTCTTACTTAAATTAGCGCAATAAATAAAAAACAATCGAGTGATGGAAACAGCGTTCAAAGAGAGAGACGAAAAAAAAAAAAAAAAATCAAATTCCATGGATGGCGTATTAATGACCATGTGTTTCCAGAATGTCCCGAAGACACGGCACGGCCCGCACCGCGGTGATGAGCCACGAAAACGGCAGCGGCTCCCCAAGGGCGGACGGCTCGTCGCCCCGCCACGGCTTTGGCTCCCCGCGAAACTCGCCCCGCAGCTCGCGCAGGCACCACCACCAGTACCAGCAGCACCACTCGCCGTACCGACAGTTGCCGCCCCCGCCCGCCCACCAACAGCCGCACTCCGTCTCGTTGCAAGGCACGCCGACGCACTCGCCCTCCCCGGCACCCCCGGCCTCGCTGAACGGCGCCGAGTCGGAAACCGGCAGCGCCGCCCCCAACGGCTCGCGCTCCGGGGCCCTCGACAGGGTCCTCCTCGAACGCAACCTCGAGCGGCTACTCCAGGAGCGCAACGCCCAGCCCGAGGAGTCCACCGGGGAACTCGGCAGGTATACACGATCCTTCTTCCCTCACCCCACACCCGATTTTTCCGAACGAAGTACATACACCGATACCGATCTTCACCCGGCAGGCTGATGCAGGCGCGCGACCGCGAGCCCCTGCGCTGCATCCCCGGCTCGGCGAGTCCCTCGCACGCCTCGAGCATGCCCGAGCTGCCCAACATCCTTGGCTGCACGTCCAACAACAACAACAACAACAACAACAACAACAACAACAACAACAAGAGCAGCAGTGCCACCAGCCAGAGCAGCAGCAGCAACAACAACAACAACAATGAGGGCGCGGTGGGAGTGACGACGCCGGTGGCGGAGGACGGGTGTTGCGGGGAGATGGCCTCGGCGTTGCCGGGTTCCCCGCCGTCGTCGAGTTCGGTGTCGCCGTCGACGCCGCCCGAGGACAAGGCCACGCCCCCGCCCCCGCCAGCGCCCGCGGGTCCGCCTCGCCACCAGCATCACGAGGCTCAGGTGGTGCAGAGCTCGAGGCGCGTCAGGTTCCAGGGGGACGATTTGGTGGACGAGCCGGGGCCATCGGGGGGTAGGAGGCACGGGAGGAGGTCGCCGGTGTCGCCGCCTTGTCTGCCCAGGAGGCATCAGAGCGTGCCGAGGTCGAGGAGCTTGCAGCCCGAGGAGGTGCCCGGCTGCTCGTCTTGGTGTGAGTTTTCGGCATTTTTCTTTTTTTTTTCCCCACTCGTGGCTTCGTTGTACCGCGACAATACAATATATTACATAGGGGTGGCAAACGTTGAAAAAAACCCAACGGAGATTGGGAAATTTTTTTTTTTTTTTTTTTTTTTTGTTAAGATGACTTTTGTCCAAATTTTGGGTGGGGTTTCAGAATGAAATTAATAAAATTATAAGAAAAAAAAAAAAACAAACTATTAACGTAATTTACTTTACGTAGAAAGGTGAGAATATTCAATACAGTTTATGTGAATAATTATACCAATACCATTCCCAGAATGTAAAAAAATAAGAAATTTCTGAAATGATTAGTTAATCGAATAATGTCAAGATGAATATAGATATGTGGATAGGATAAAAACAATCAATTCGCATTATACCTATATAAGCTAAGACGTGACCTTCGATATGACATTGACCTGAAAATTCAAGGCCATTTGTAGGTCGACCAGTTTTTTCAAACGAAAATTAACCCGTAAATATACTGCATCTTTGGTTTTCAAAGCTATCTCGCGTGCATTTGGCCAGTTCAATTTATCCAAGTGAAAAACCAAGCCACCCCACGTAGAGCACAATAGCGCGTTGGAAATTACCCTCGAGCCGGAGTCCGTATACCGAACCAACGAGTTGATGAAAAAAAAAAAAAAAAGAAAAAACGGCTGTAATAATAACATTGTTCTCGCAAAAGAGCGACACCTTGATTTCAGATGGAAAAAAAAAAAAAAGAAAAAAAAATTGTTATGTTCGCAGCAAACGCCTACGCCCGGTCGCGAGCCGACGACGAGGAGAGCTGCTGTTCGACGTGCAGCTCGTCCAGCAGCTCGGACGACGCTGAGGCGTACGCGCTACCGCCGAGGCGGGCCTACGGGGGTGTCCGTCTGGCTTACGTGCCCAACGACGCTGTGGCCTGCGCCCGGAGACGCGCCACCGGTGGCCCAAGCTCCCCCGGGCAGGGCAAGGACGGCGCCACGGGCTCGGACAAATGCGTCGTGTCCTGATCGCACGCCGGCTCCGTCGATCGGAGGAGGAAGATCGGCACCCGATGCTGATTACCTTTGTTCCCGTGGTTGAGGGGATCGAAGCACCGGCGGCTTTTGGTTTTTAGAATTTCGTACCGTCACGAGGAACGAGGTTGTTTTTTTTTTTTTTTTTTTTTTTTTTCTTGTGCTTTGAATTTTTTTTTTGAATTGGCTGGAAAAAAGTATGGATCGTCGATGTAGCCGGTGGGAGATCTGATTGTTCCGTCGCAAATTTGTATTTTTGGGAAGTACATAATTATGGGTTCAAATAATTTATCGGAACAAAAGAGACTTATTGCTATGGAGATACTTAATATGTGCCAATGGATTTTTACGACTATCGCATACCAGGATTATTTATTTTAACCGCCTATGCATGTAGTTATTTATTTAATTGTCTTCCATGCCTTGTGAAGAAAATTTTTCTTTCACACTGGCATGTTAATTCGTTACATGAGGTGTACATAAAAAGAAAACAGCGACTACAGTTAGGTTACAATGAAACTCTTTGTTAAGTATTCGACCAAGATTATTGCATTTCTTTTCAAGTAAATATATCATTCTTGAAGCAATTATACTTCGTGAAAAAATCGCGTGAATCTCATTATTATTGGTAAAAATGAATTTTAGTTCGAATAAGCGCTTCCACAAATCGAGAAACATGACCAATAGTCGAAAATGTTTCTCAAAATTTTAGATTTACCGACACTTCGAACACAAACATATCCCAGCGAGACATTAAACTTTTTAACTGCTTGTCGATCAAAGCTTTTGTGAGTCATTATGTAATTATTTAAAAAGCTTACTGTGTAATATTGTTGTCAATGGAAATTCGTAAAAGTGTCAAGTAACGTATACCTATTACGATAACCATGTACTAGACAGTTTGAAAATTTCCATCATAAATTCTTATCGTAGCCAAGTCATTAGAGTATAAAAAAAAAGTCACCAAGTACTACACGTATATTATTGTTATCACTGTTTAAAATGAAAATGAAGAAAGAAAAAAATCTTAAGCCTTTGGTCTTACTTAAATTAGCGCAATAAATAAAAAACAATCGAGTGATGGAAACAGCGTTCAAAGAGAGAGACGAAAAAAAAAAAAAAAAAAATCAAAGATATNACAAATAAATATAGTATTTATATTGGTCTGAATCGTGTATATATATAATAGAACAAAGTACTTTGATACAGAAATGAGAGTATTGTATACAATTTTATAAGGACATGTAAAGAACAATAGGATAGATAATATAAACCAATAATAGATTATTTACATCCATTACAAAAAAAAAAAAAAAACATATACATTCTTGAAACAAACGATACGCAAAAAACTGTCGATATTTTATACATACGTAATTATGAGACATAAAAGATGTTGTCGAGATGGATATTAATTTCTAAAATTTACGTGTCGTAATGATAAAATTGTAAACAATTTTGCCTAATGATAATAAGGTATTTTTCAAACAAAATAAGAATCATGCAAATGTACAAAGTCCATATACATTATATCTTGTACTTTATAAATCTTTTATACGATTTTTGTGTACATATCAAATATCAAAGTGACAAAATTGTATGAAATTACAAAATAAGAAGCATTTTTCATTAAAGTAATATTTTAAAGAAACCTTTCGTGTTTAGTTACCCATTTTCCCAGTCTTTCCTTGTTGTCATCAGACATTATTATTGTTATTTTTTTTTTCTTCAATTCATTATGTCATAATAATTTTTAAGTAGCACCATCTGAAATCATGAATATTTTTTGTGAATTTTTTTTTACTACTGTCAAATAATAGTTTTAAAAAATGCTTAATTATATGTTATCATTGATTAAAAAAGAAATCCCTACTTCTGTCAAAACAAGTTTTGAATTGTTTAAATGTACGTTTCATCAAAACATGAATATTTTAAAGTACTTGTACCCAAAGAACACGACCTGATATATTTGCTCATAAAAAAAAATCGAGCAATTAATTGCAAAATAAGTTATTAGGTGTAAAAATTTTTATGTTTTAAATTTTATCTTGAAAAGCAACCATTTAAATTGTTCAAACTTTTTTATAATTCGCGGCAAAGTAAAATTACTTCTTCTGCGCATGTCTGGAATCTAGCAGACGATCAGTGGTCGTTTGAGAACAGCTGATTGCTAGATATATGTCATAAAATGTCATAACAATCATTGCATTGTATACAATAGAACTGAAGACGCATTCGAAACAATGCTTTCGTGACAGAATAAGATTTATAATTAACTCCTAATCGAAGTAAAACTCGTGATTTCAGTGTTAAATAATAAACTGAAGTGGAATACAGTATGATCTGCATCACAAGAAGCCACAGAACAGCGTCAAATTTTAAGGGTCAGTCAAACACCCGTTTTCCAGCCAAACCCTTAATTAACAAAACGAAAAATTAACGAATTGTAAAAAAAAAAAAGTATAGATCGCATAATCCACTGCTGCTCGTCGAGCCTCGCCTACGTACCGAAATGCGAGCCAGTAAAGTCCGAGGACATCGAGCTGCTGAGGCGATTCGTGGACGAGTCCAGGAAAATTTGCGTCGTCACCGGGGCTGGGATCTCCACCGAGAGCGGAATTCCCGATTATCGCTCGGAAGGTGTTGGTTTGTTTGCCACCAGTGACCGCAGGCCTGTTTCTTACAAGGACTTTTGTGGCAGCGACAAGGTTAGGAGACGATACTGGGCTAGGAATTATGCAGCCTGGCCAAGGTATGCTAGTTTACTTTTACACATACTTAGCTCACACCTTTCATGTTACGTGCAATAAGGTTTCAAGTAATTTTGCAGATTTAGCTTGTTTCAACCAAATTTCACGCATATGTGGCTGAAGACTATGGAGGATGTGGGCAAAGTGAGCTGTGTTGTCACGCAAAACGTTGACAATTTACACGTTAAAGCTGGTAGCAAAAACGTCATTGAACTGCACGGTACTGGATATAGAGTAATGTGCTTGAATTGCAACGAGAAATTGGACAGATTCGACTTTCAGGAAATTCTCAACAGACTAAATCCCACCATGGCTACTTCGTGCGATAAAATACGTCCTGATGGTGATGTTGATTTGTCTCAGGTATTTATTATTTTGTATTGTTTTCTACAATAAATAAGAAACATTTTATACTTATTATGAATTTTAGGAGCAAATTGACGATTTTAAAATACCGCCGTGCTCAAACTGTGGTGGGATTCTCAAGCCTGACATAGTGTTTTTTGGTGACAATGTTCCCAGAGAAGTTGTCGAGCGAGTGAAAAGTGAAGTGGAAGATGCCGATTCTTTGCTTGTCCTTGGCACTTCCTTGACTACATTCTCTGGTTACAGAATTGTGCTTCAAGCAACAGAAGCTGTTAAGCCCATAGCGATATTAAATATTGGTGAAACGAGGGGAGACGAACACGCGCACATCAAAGTTCATGGTAGATGTGGTGAAATCCTTTCGATGCTTGGTAAAAAGTGATTCTGATGAAGAACTTTAAAAAACTGTAGTTTAAGATCGTGAGCCTTGAAAAAAGTACAACTTAGATAATTTTACATTTGTGTAATGCTAAGAACCATTTGTTTTAACAATACCTTCTGAAAATGTATAAAACTTTGTATTTTACATACATGTAAAAAATATTATTGTATATTAATAGAAAAATTATATTTTGATATTGTTATAGCACTATTTATTACTTAGATAATGTGTTTACCGTATTTTTTATTATGAATAAAATGTTTC